CATATATGCTTAAGACAATTTTCATGAAAGTCCAAGGTTAAAGAGGAAGGTTTCTAGCCAAGTCGTTCTTGTTTTCTTCATAGCGAATAAAATGCCATAGGACGAAGGGCTACGTTTCAAAAATTCGATCCATAATATTACGTCCTCTTGCTTGTACGATTCAAGTTGCATCCAATCGCTTCCCATCAAGAGGTCATCGTGTTAGCATTATTATATTATCTAATTTCTTGGGCTGACATTTCTTTCGCAACGAAATCACCGGAACCGCTCGTTTTCGAGCGGCATTTCTGCTACCGCGATCTTCGAGGACCGTCAATTTCTGATTCGTTTTGTTTATTTTAGTAATGTCCAACATGCATTTAGGATGGATAATTTATGGTTATAAATAAAAATGATGATAAAAGAGGAGCATGTTTATTCCACATTGTTATCATATTCAGGATCATTACACCATATCATCTCACATAGATTTAGGTTACGAGTTGCTAGATGTGCCATCTACATGTTTAAAAGTCTTTTTTTATAATAATAGTACAAACGATATAACACACATTCGTGAAATTTGGGGCTTAATCCGACTTAGGCATTTTGCGAGAATTTGCATTCCATATATTAGGGTAATCTCATGCCTAGCTTAGGGTACCACTCATGGGGTTCCTATCCTGGGGTGTAATAACGAGGCTTTATTTAATTTGCCCCATATGGCTCGGGTTCTTTATTTTTCCATACTTTATTTACTCTTTTTTTTCAATGTTGCGTAATTACGTTGTTATGTGATTAAGTGATTGATAGATATAATTGCACAATTTTGCAAATGCATGATCATTTAGATGGCTGCGCTTAGAGACTAAAAATGGATAGGATCGTATGATCAAACGTTTACGAAATAATTAAAAAAGGTACCAAAATTGGGCGCTCAATAGATTTTAGTGTAAACAAGTAACCGTTCCCGAATCTCTAGTTTGCGAAAGTGAAGTGAGCTCCCAAGTTTCACTTAACTTCTAACTAGGCTCAAATAAGTTATTAGTGACTCCTAAAAAAAGAACAAAACTTGCATAATCAACCGAGTCAATCAAAATCGTAATTGGTAGGGTTTGGAAAAACCTAAACCAATTGTGAGCATCACCTCATAAGAGGAACCATCCACACTCCCTTAGTGATCCGTTCGCTCACCTCGAGGTGGCACTATGCCCTTGACAAGGCCCAAAAATATTATTGGCTATGGTTAAGCTCCAAAAATCACATCAATTATGAATAAACCCTGTAAAGGTCGTGATTAGGCCTCAAAATAATATTGGTCTGTGCACCCACGCACACACAAAAGTATATATAAATAGCATTTCAATCTAAAATATTTCCAGAAAACATTAATGAGAGGCTCAAAAGTATTCGATGCTTAATCAAGTTTTCCAAATTAGCATGCCATAGAATAATATTTATTTATATACCTTAAAATTACATGCCATGTCACATCACAATATAGCTTTTTCTCGGTAAATAATGTCATGAAATTTTTACAAAAAATGGAAAGCGATAGAAATTACTTACCGCGATAAATCGCTAATTCAAACCGCACAACACAATCTCATATTTCCTTCGTCCCTAAACAACAGCCGAATGCACTTGGGCTGAAAAGCCCATTCAGACCAAAATTATGCAAATGCCCTCCGAGACTTGATTTCATGTCCATGGCCCTGACACACACCACATGACCCAAAAAAATATTTAACTCTGTGAGTCATCTGAAATAATCATTCTTTGGGGAAACTAACTTATATTATTTTTCAGAAAACTGAAACAAATTAGATATTTTCAATATTGCGCTCACTAACCTTTTTTTCTTCAATAATTGCACTGAACTTTTCAAAGGAGTTAGAATTTTCCACTACCAATATCTATATTCAAACTAACTGGATCGAGTTGAAAATTTTTGGATGTCTAGAAACCATGTTCCATGATTTGCACAATTTTCACAATTTCTAAGTAATAACAGAAATTTCTATATTTTCAAAAATCATGAAAATTTCACCTAACATAGTAGTCTCAGCGTTTGAGTTTAAAGAGAAAATAGTGTCGCAATACGACTTTTGGATGGACTGCACGAGCCGCCGAAAGGAATTGCGCTGGTGAAAACCCAAATTATAAGAGGTGCCCGCTTTGTGCTCTCAATTCTCACTCTAAGGATAATCGAATCAAGTGGCTTTTGTGCCGTTGGAAAGACCTCATGCGATACTATAGTTTCATAACAAGGATCGACCCTGAAAGTAATCCAAATAGATTGTGTTTATGCAAGAAAGTTGCACTTTTACCAGCCTGCGACCGGTACTTTGGAAGGTTTAATTTCCAGACGAAACATGGATATCACGCAATGCCAAATCACAAGGGTTCGAGGTCAAAGGAAATATCAGTTCAAACTTCAACCCATGGATGTCACCATTTAGAGTGGTTTTCCAGCGACGAAGGACACTCCCCAGCGAGCCTTGGGCCTCTGGCGTCACGGTCCTCTCTGCCCTCTTGCCTCTCTCTTTGGTTTTGGGTGATAACGGCAAATGCCAATCTTAGGAGGATAAGAAGGCAACAAGCCAAGCTATGCAAGACAAGTTCCATAATTATCTCTCAAAATCGCTTCTTGCCTTCTCAGAAAAAATCCGGATGTCTAATCTTTTTCTTGTTTTTCAATATTACGAAATTCCCTTTTTGGTTTGGAACATTAAAATCTACCCCCTAAGAGAATTTCATCATCGAAAATTGCTATATCTGAACTTTTGATTGAGTGCGGATACTTTGTTTCATATCTTTCTCAAATCCCAAATCACTTCTCTTCGATGTGATTTTGTCATTGCACCTTCGCTTCACACAAGGTATTAGCTTTTGGCCCAGATATGTATGTTTTTGGCAAGGTTGGTTTGAGGATTCGTCCTTCTCTCTCTCCCTTTTTCTTGAGCGGAAATTAGAGTGTGACAATTGGGCTATGCGATAAGGGGGAAGGACCAAGATGAAGAATGAGATTGATGGTCATGATTTAGTCTCAGAGGACTCAAAACTTTTTACCGAGATCACATTTGCTTCGGTTGCTGAAGTCCATCTATTGATCTTTACAATTTTTGTATCATCGTGCTGGAATCGACTAAAAGAAAGCCCATCTATTAATGAGCAAAAATTAAATAAGTCAACATTTGATTATTAATTTCTAGAGTTTTAAAAGCGCATGGTCTCTAACGCATGATAGAGGAAGAAGACGGACGTGGCACAACAAAACAAGAAAGAAAACAAAACAAAACAACAAAGTGATGTTTGATAGTTAATGATGGTCGAGTTAATTGACCTTTTGGCCAATGTCTTATGTCAACGCAGTACAGCTTCAGAGACGTGGACCTCAGTGAATAGCCGTGGGACCCAATCCACCGTCTACACAATGACCAATCCAATTTTGCCACGTACCAACAGTATCTCCGCCCCAAAAGGTGATCGCGGCCGCACCTGAAAAAATGAAGGGTTTGCCCTTGGAGACGCAATTTGCCTTCTCAACTTGGTCCCCCCATTCTCCTTTTGCTTCTGGGGCCTCGGGAACTGTCAAGAGAAAACAAGCTGCTGCTACATAAATATCGACGTCACTTTCAACGCCAGCATTTTCATTGCCCTTGCAAGCTTGCTAGACTATTCAACACTAGAAGCACGAAAAGTCTTTAGACAAACCAATCGCGGTCCTCGGACCCAACCTCGGTGTGTTTGATATGCATCATTTACTTGGGCTTCATCTTTCCATTATGCGTGGCTAAGAATAATTCCTATCTTCTAATCCAGAGAGAGAGAGAGAAAGAGACAGAGAGACATGAAGTTGCTATACATGTCTTGAAAAGTCTCTAGCCTGGAACCACTGGACTAATATCTTCTAATACACAGAGAGCGAAAGAGAGAGAGATAGAGAAAGAGAGACAGAGATAACAAAAATTTGCGGAAGCTCTCAACGGGAGCATTGCTGGAGATATCATTGCTAAGCTAATATCTATGAATATGTGTGTATATATAATGAGAAAGTAATATAGAACGAAGCCTATTGATTGAGCTATGTCATTACAAAACTTCATTCCTTCCCGCTTTCCCTAACATTAATTAGACATATTGCTTTAAAATAAAGCAGAAAAAACTTAATTATGCATTTTTTAATCTAAGATAATGCTTTTAGAACAATACATCAACATCAACTTACCTTATTTACTAAATTGGATATATATATATATATAAAGGTTTTGCAATTGGTATTTGTCATTTAAATATTATTTATTATTATTATACACTTGTATTATCTTTAATGGGGTTTTCATATAATAAATGAGGTGGGCGCCTATATTAAGTTTTATGTAATAAATGAGGTGGGTGCCTATAATTTTTGTAAATCATAAAATTATAAAAATAAATGGTTTGGAAAAATTCAAAACAATGCTAAATCTTTTATATTTAAGACCCTTTCTACTTTCTTTTAATTCTCACTCTCATAGCGAGCCTCGCTCCTAGACTTTCTAGTCTCTCGAGTTTCCCCTAACAGTGCCCTCCCTCTCTCTCTCTCTCTCTCTCTCTCTCTCTCTCTCTCTCTCTCTCTCTCTCTCTCTCTCTTTGGAGTCTTGCCCACTCTGTCTCATCTCATCTCTCTCTTGGTCTTGTCGACCCCGTCTCCTGTCCTCCTCTCTTGATCTCGCCAGTTGTGGCCTCGCCTTTGTTGGTCGGCCGTCGATCAACCCACTATTAGCCAGGTTCTTTCTTCTTATAGCAACTAATCTGTGAGCTTTTCTGAAGATAAATAGCTTGAGCACAGTACTATGCGTTTTCCTTTTTCTTTGGCAAAATTCTAGGAAAGCAAGGAAAAATAGGAAATTTGAAGCAATAGGAATGACAAAATGACAATTACCACCAAAGAATTTCTCTGCTCACTACAAACATAATTTTGTTTTGGCCATGAACTATGAACTGCTAAGCCAGTAAACTCATCCTGCAATTGGGCCTTCACAAAATGAAAAATGAAACATAAAAAAGTAGACTGGTTCAAAGGTCGGTTCGGTTAAGCTCTGATACCAACTTTGTCGTACATCAAATCCAACCCAAAAATTTAGAGAATGACTGGCCATCCTTTGGAAAAAATAAAGAACGAATCCTTGAACTAAGAATAGTAATTTTAAACCTATATATTAACTAGGCAAAATCTTTCATTGAATGATAATCATGACAAAATCAAGTAAATCATGAATTAACCAAAATCTAGAAATTCTTTAACCCTCTCTGAATTGCTCTTAACGTGATTAATGCAATTTTTGAAAATTTGGGAGATTCCCTATCCAATCAAAGCTAAGTTGTGGAATGGTTTTTGAAACTGTTTTGAGATAATCCTGAAAAAAATAGATGAAAAAGGCCAGCTTCTTTTGAAAAATATTGATATACGGGGAAAGTCAATTTCATCAGGAAATTATGCACCAATAACTACACTAGATTTAATTCTTAATAACAGCTTACAATTAGGCTTGATTTAGACAAACCAATCGCGGACCTTGGACCCGACCTTGGTGGGTCATATGCATTATTGATTTAGGCTTGCGTGGATGATGAGGATTCCTATCTTCAACAACTCGAGTCGGTCAAAGAAGTTGAAAATTAGATTTGTCAGGATTTTGATTTGCCAGTCTTTCGTGAGCATCAACATAAACTTATTGTACATGTTCTGAGAAGCCTATAGCCTTGGAACGTCTGTACTAATATCTTCTGATCCACAGAGAAGAGATAGAGAAAGAGAGATACGAAGAACAAAAATGGCGGAAGCTGTCATTGTTAGCATTACCGAAAAGATCGTTGCTAATCTGGTTCCTCAAGCAATAGAACAGGTTGGAATGTTATGGGGCGTCAAGCATGAACTCAAGGCTCTCAGGAACACTGTCTCCACGCTTCAGGCTGTACTGGATGATGCAGAGGAGCAATATTACGAGAATCGCCAAATCCAAGTTTGGCTTGAGAGACTGAAAGACGCATTCTATGAAGCACAGGACGTGCTTGAAGAATTCAACATAGAAGCAACACGACGAGAATTGAGGGGCCACGATGAAATGATCGCGGAGGTAAGGACATTTTTCTCAAGTTCAAACCAGCTTGCTTTTAAACTGAAGATGATTTACAAGGTAAGAGCAGTGAGGGTGAAAATAGAAGCCATTAAGGCTGATAAGAGGATCCACTTAAACGAGCGCCCCATGGATTCGCAAGTAAAGCAAGAGTGGAGGAAGAGAGAAGAGACACATTCGTTTATACCTAAGGGCGATGTTATAGGGAGAGATGATGATAAGAAGATGGTTATGAAATTTTTACTGGATTCTAACATGAAAGAGAATGTTTCCATCCTTCCAATAGTTGGTATTGGTGGGCTTGGAAAAACGACTCTTGCTCAATATGTGTATGATGATAGTAAATTTGACTTGAAAATGTGGGTTTGTGTCTCTACTGACTTTGACGTGCAAAAGATAGTGAAAAAGATGTTAGCTTGTGCAAAGAAGGAAGAACCAACCGAGTTTACGATGGAACTGTTGCAAAGCAAACTAAGGGCAGAAATTGATGGAAAGAAATATCTCTTAGTTTTGGATGATGTGTGGAATGTAGAACAAGAAACATGGCTAAGGTTGAAAAATTTATTGGTGGGAGGTGCTAGAGGAAGCAAGATCCTTATAACTACACGCCTTCATTCGGTTGCGAATATCACGGGCACCACCTCGCGTCATCTTCTTGCGGGCTTATCTGAAAGAGCGTCTCTTGATTTATTAATGCAAATGGCTGGTCGAAAAGAAGAAGATATACAAGATCCTGAAATGCTAGCTATTGCCACGGAAATAGCGAGAAAGTGCTCTGGGGTTCCTTTGGTTGTTCGAACTATTGGCGCTTTACTATCCTTTAAAGAAAGTAAACGCGAATGGTCACAATTCAAAGATAAGGAGCTCCTAGATGTGTTTCAAAGCAAAGGCAGCATAAAATCAGTTCTTGAACTAAGTTATAAACATCTTCCTTCACATTTGAAACAGTGTTTCGCGTTCTGTTCATTGTTTCCCAAAGATTATGAGATAAAGAAGCAGACTTTGGTAGATCTTTGGGTGGCAGAAGGATTTATCCAGCAATCAAATAAAAGTCAACATTTAGAAGACATTGCTTGTAGATATTTCCAGGATCTACTATGGAGTAACTTCTTTCAAGATTATCGGGAAGATAAGAAGACCTGCAAGATGCATGATTTGATGCACGATCTAGCCTGCTTAGTTGCACGATCTGAGTGTTGGGTGGCATGGGATGACAAAAAATCCATATCTGAAAGAACTCATCATATATCATATGGTTCATCTTTCAAATTGATGGGTGAACTTCCAATCTCGCGCTTGAAAGCAAGTGCACTGAGAACATTTCTGTCTACTGCTAGTTGTTGGGAAATGGAACCAACAAGTGAAGCATATGTATTCCAACTAATTCAAAGTTTCAAGAAGTTGCGCGTCTTGGATCTGCATTTCACATCTCTCGAGAAGGTGCCAAGGTCCATTTATAAGTTGAAGTATCTCACGTATCTTGATCTCTCTGGCAATCAAGAGCTAAAAAGGCTTCCTAACTCCATTACGAGGCTGCAGAATTTGCGAACTCTTAATCTTAACGGTTGTCGTGCCCTTGAAGAATTGCCAAGGGGTATAAGGAAGTTAGTCAGCCTTCGAAATCTAGATATAGATGGTTGTTATAAACTTCGTTATGTGCCATGCGGACTAGGGCAATTGAGTTCTCTGCATAGGCTAACACGCTTCATTTTGCCCAAAGATAAAGCTCTTGCTAAGGATTGTTGCGAACTTGGGGAGCTAAATGGGCTTAATGACATCCGGGGAAGCCTTTGCATTGAGAATTTGGGAAGTGTGACAGATGCAGTAGCAGAATCTAAGGCTGCGAACTTGATAGGGAAGCATTATCTGGAATCTTTGAAACTTAAATGGGACGATTTCGATATTGATGATGCAGTAATTGGGAATAGAGATAAAGTGCTATTAGATGGACTGAGGCCGCACTCAAATCTGCAGAAGTTGAAGATCTATGGATATAAAGGTGAGAGCTTGCCAAGGTGGATGATGGACAATCTTGTGTCTTCCTTGCCAAATTTAGTTGAGGTATGCTTCCACGGTTGCGGAAGATGTAAACATCTCCCTCCATTAGGCCAACTACCTGGCCTTAAGATTTTAGAGATTTCATGGATGACTGAATTGGAATACAAAGAGTTAGGCCATTCATCCACTTCAATAGCATCATTTCCTAGTCTATTGAAATTAGATATCAATAGTTGTGAAAAATTGAAAGCTGTCCCACCAACTCCGCATCTTGAGGAGTTACAGCTGGCTAGGGCCCATCCAGCGTTGATAAATATGATAGTTGGCCTTAATAAGTTGAAGAATCTGGAAATATGGGATATGGAGTCCCTAGAATGTGTGCCCGAGGAGTGCTGGAAAAGTCTCACCTCCCTCGAATCTCTTCGCATAAGCTATTGTCCTGGGTTAACTTCCCTCTCAAAAGCACCACCACCACCACTGGGTACGGGACATCAATCCAACCAGGTGGATCTCGATTCTTCGGATTCTGAGGAGCTAGATTTATCCAATTACGACGAAAGCAGCGGCGGCAACAACAACCACCCCATCTTGGAACTTCACAGTCTCCGCTCCGTGGATCTCTATAGCCTTCCAAAACTAGCATCTCTCCCACGGTGGCTTCTCCAGCTCAGCAATCTCGAGGATCTCCGAATTAAGAATTGCTCCAATTTGAAGGCATTACCAGAGCAGATCGAGACCCTTCAATCACTTCAAAAGCTCCAAATCTTGTCTTGCCCCTCCTTGACATCATTACCCGAAGGAATGGGAAGGCTCGCATCCCTTACTCACCTAGACATCTCCAGTTGCGAGGAGCTCGAATCATTCGAAGACGAAAGCGGCAACAACAACATCTTGGATTCCCATGGAGGACTTCACAGTCTCCGCTCCGTGGAAATCGGGAGACTTCCCAAAATAGCATCTCTCCCACAATGGCTTCTACAGGCCAGCAATCTCGAGGATCTCCAAATTGAGCATTGCTCCAATTTGAAGGCATTACCAGAGCAGATTGAGGCCCTTCAATCACTTCAACGGCTTGAAATCATGCAGTGCCCCTCGTTGACAGCATTACCTAAAGGAATGGGAAGGCTTGCATCCCTTACTCACCTACGCATCTCCGATTGCAAGGAGCTCGAATCATTCGAAGACGAAAGCGGCAACAACAACATCTTGGATTTCCATGGAGGACTTCACAGTCTCCGCTCCGTGTTAATCTCTTCCCTTCCCAAAATAGCATCTCTCCCACAGTGGCTTCTACAGGCCAGCAATCTCGAGGATCTCCGTATCGGTTTTTGTGATGAGCTGGATATATGCAAAGACGAGAGCGGCAACCTCATCATCTTGGATTCCCATGGAGGACTCCATCACAGCCTTCGCTCCGTGAGTCTCGGTGAACTTCCAAAACTAGCATCTCTCCCCCAGTGGCTTCTACAGGCCAGCAATCTCGAGTGTCTCTATATTCGGGGTTGCGACAATTTGAAGGAATTACCAGAGCAGATCGAGGCCCTTCAATCACTTCAACGGTTTGACATCAGATGGTGCCCCTTGTTGACGTCATTACTCGAAGGAATGCGAAGGCTTGCGTCCCTTACTCACCTGATAATCTTCTAATGCCCAGAATTGGAGAGGAGGTGCAAGAGAGATGGAGGCGAGGACTGGCACAAGATTGCTCATATCCCCCACATAACTCACAATCCCTATTCTCCATTCTGAAGGTATGCGAGGACCTTTTTACCCGGAAATTTTACATGAAGAATAATTCTCGAATTGTGTGTTTCGATACTTGATTTGATTCTGGGGGGACATGGACAGATCGCTGAAGAGAGGGGAGGACAGATCACCGGTACAAGATTTGCTCATATCCCCCACATTCAACTTGGGCGGCGGCAGATCGAGCCCTAATTTTCTTTATTGAAGGTTCGTGGGACGTTTTTTTCCCCAGATTTTTTCATGAATAATGATTTTTCGAATATGGTGTTTGACATACTTAATACAATTTTTGGGGGATACGATAACGGACAGATCGGTGAAAGGTTTGGGCATATCCCCTTGGATGCTTGATTCGATTGGGGATTAGGGTGTATGGGAACAAAGAAAAATCTGTACCCCTTCTCGTCCAGCTCCGAGCTCGTCGAATCTGGCTCGTGACTCATGCCACAGATATGGTGCGCAATTTGCTCATTCGTATTCCGCAAGGAGCAAAGTTGCCTGCACAGTCCAACGATTCTAGGAGGACTCTCATGCATGAAGCGATGAATTGTTCCCATGGAGGATGGCTTATGGTTTTGCTTCCCTTTAAAAAATAATCCTTTTGTCCGCGATGTGTCCCCCATGGAATCGGAGGTTCCAGCATAGATCTGCCCAGCGAATCAAGGGTATGAACGGCGACAATAGATTATGTGGCAGTTTTCCTTTTCACATGCTGCTACTGATCTATTAATTCCTGAAATTAGGTGATCCCTAGACATGTTGAGTACCCATCTGAACTTCCAAAGTGGAATTACTATGGATCAAGTGCCGGTCAAGCTCCGGGGGAGGATAGTGAGGGTGATCTTATTGTTTGCATTTGACAGCAATATTGTGTAAACTAAAAGCTGCAAATTGTTTTGCATTATAGTAGAGTTTCTGAGGTCTCTCTGTGAAGAGTTTGAAGAGAAACGCAATGGTGGGGAGAGAGAGAGAGAGAGAGAGAGAGAGAGAGAGAGAGAGAAAAAAGGGAAATGCACATTCTTGTTTTGCTGTTCAGCCATTCTGCAAAGATTCTCAGGTAAGTCCTTTGCCAATTTTGAGCACCATCTGAAACAATTGAGTAAATGGTTGCATTAGAAGAGGCCTTATGACTGTTGGACCGGAAGTCTAATCTACGACTTCTCCGTTTTGATCAAGTGCAAGGTTGTCCTGTTCATTTTGTTTGGTTGACAATTGACATGTTCTTCATCTCTTGTTGACGACAGTGTTTGCAAAAGAAATGTGTTCTGTGTGAGGCAGAATGAATGAATGAATGGAGCAGTAGTCATTGTTGTCGTTTCTTTTGATGACTAAGTCAATCAATACCAATGCTAAGTCTATGTTGTGGACCTCGTGTGGAATTGGTTTCTCTTGTATCCACTCTTGTCTTGGATTTTTCTTGTTCTGTGACTTCAATTGGTCATGCTGATTATTGCTGTGTTTGGTAGTCTTACTCTGCCATGGCGATATCTAATGGATATTTTCGCCAAAGCCATTGGCAAGGGTAATTTGCAATTATGAGAAGTTTGTGAAAGAAGAAAGTACTTCGATGTGATTGCCTTTTGACTGTGAGAGGAATGAATTAGGTGCAATGTCAAGATTCATGAGTTGATCATCCATTAGATCTAATGAAATATCATGATAACATGTTTGCTGATTGATCCTTGGTGAGGTGGAATTTCATTAATCTCTTAAACTGTTACACTCTGCAGTATGCTTCCTTCAACTATGTAACTGCCCTCAGTTTTTTACTTGTTCTTAAGCTCTCTTTCGGGAATGAGGCCTGAGAATAACGTTGAAATGGTTCTAAAAGGATAAGTATAGTTATGCCATTGTTTTTAGTTTATTTTCAAAGGAGAATGTGGTAGTGTCCTTAGGGCAATCAATAAAACTCGCTATTTATGCTTCAAAATGTAAGTTTTTCCTATTTGAAACTAGTCTTCAAAAAGCAGTTTTCTACTTTTTGGCGCTAGCACTTGCTAAAGAGACTCTTTCTTTGAAGTACCCAATCTTTGGCCAAAAAAAAAAAGTACCAAGTCCATTCTTTTATCTTTTCAAAACTAAACTCTCATGCATACCAGAAGGCCAAGTCACACAAATAAAGCTCGTCATTTGAACTATCTTTCATGAGATTACGCTCCCAGGTTTTTTGTTTCAGTAGAAATGTCCATTACTCACACTGCTTTATTTTTCAGACTAGGCAGAAATTGCGCAGATTTTGGCACCGACCATACAATGCAGAGGAGGATCACAAAGAAATCACTGACCACCAGTCCCGTGACAGCAAACACATGGATTTCTCTCTTGCTAAAACAGAAGAAGAGTGGAAACATCAAGAGCCTTTTTAAGGTCAGGGTGAATGCTTTGAAGTCCGAGAACAATACTGTTACTAGCACTCGAGTCTTCTCAACTTGGACGTCATGGCCTACACCAATACTGTCACGCCCCGCACTCCTCGGCGCGCCACATCCCTCGCAAAGGTCGATTCGTGTGCGACGTCCCAGGACTCGTCGCCGACCCAACACCCAACACAGAGATTTAAAGCACATGCGGAAGTAATTAAAACCACCCGTACAATAAAATACACATAATCCAGGATAGCCATACAACAACCAGCACGGATAAATATACACTTGTTTTGACATCGGGAAACATATACAATATTCATATACAGCCCACACTCAAAAATCAAAAGCGGGTACGTGGCTCGGCGATCAAACACTATATCTAGCCGGGGCTCCTCCCAAAACGTTTCAATACGCCTGCCATCCTCAGGACTGGGGGTCTGAAAAAAATTGGGTTTCAACAACAGTGAGAATAAATCTCAGCGAGTAATTCCCTAAACCTAAATTAGGCTAAAGTGCACCTCCTGACGAGTACTAAATCAACACCCCAAGCAAATCATAATTGACTTAGGCCCTCGGGCCCAAATCCAACACTCACCTTGCCCTGCAGGTTAGGCACTTACAGTTCAAGCATAAAACATAGGACCCAATCGCAGCACATGTACACATCATTTGGTCACAACGCATGTCATGCTTATGCTCGTGCTCATACGCGTGCTCACGCCTCATCAATGCATTTTCGCACGCTTGCACTCTAGCATACTTGCCATTTATCAATTTCTCCTCCGAATTCGTTAAACGCATCGTGTCCGACCCGCGTAAAACGCATCGTGCCTATCACTATCCAACACTTCTGGCCCGCGTAAACGCATCAGGCCCAGTGTCTCTAGCCCGCGTAAACGCATCAGGCGCAACACCGATCTCCATATACGGACCGAACCCGCGTAAACGCATCAGGTTGGCCGTCTTCCGGCAATCCGGGCATCGTCCCGCATTAAACGCCTCAGGACGGGTTCACTACCCCGCGTAAAACGCATCAGGGTTTATTGTGATCACACATTCACAAGCACCAATTTTCATCTGAACCCCGCATTAAACGCATCATGGCATTTTAGGTGATCACAATGCACATGTCACTCGAGCACACTTGTAAATGCACATGCCGTGCCAATGCTCATGATGCAAACTCATGGCCATAAACTTCACACTCGGGCATTCACTTGCACCGCACCACTTACTCAAATCACGATGCAATCATGCGCATTTGCACCACGCATATTCAATTTCATAAATCAACATGCCCAATCAGACAATCAATTCAAATCAGCCATGGCATCAACTTGACACACAATCCATGCACAATCCACACAACCGGGATAACAAGAACCCTCGCATTCGAGGCCCGCCAAGCTATTCCATTCTTAGTCCCGCTAAACAAGCAACATGGCATCCTAAAATCAATCGCAACAAGGCTCATTTAGCTAGTGAATTGATCAATGCGATCATTCCCGGTAATTGCACAATTAAACTTCAAATTGATCACGCCTCGCCTAAATCAAATCCTGTCGTGGCCAACCACTATACCGCAATGTCTAGGCCAATAAATATCTTCAAAATGCCCCATTAAACTCCCCAAACCATCATTCTAATCAGCCACCACAAAGATCAAATGAGGCGCGCACTAAAATCCATATTTAAAGCCCGAACTTACTTCAAACTTGGACCGCTCCGAACCAATCTGTCCAGCCATCTCACGGCACCTCGCGGGTCACTAAATCTCAACTAAATTGTCGCACTAAGCCCGTAAAATAGCCACCAAGACAGCCACCATTCGGTCTCCCAATTTCACCCGCTAAATCCACAATTCCGTCCAAATCACGGCACCTATGCCTCGCCACGTCACAGCACACTATAGTCCACTAAACCTCAATTAAATCATCATTCTCGGTCACCAAACGGGCCACAAAAATCAGCCCCTGGCGGCCTCTACTCGGTCCTCAATTTGCACCCGCCAAATTCACATTTTCGCCCAATTTAAGGCGCCTATGCCCAGCCGACTCACAGCACAATACGGGCCTCTAAATCTCAATTAAATCATCACACTAAGCCTCGAAATCAGCCACCATATTAGCCTCTAACAACCTCCACAATTTAACCTCTAAAATACCCTAATTAACCCCTAAAACCCATTTAGAAATGCAAATTATCCTAATTAGGGTTTAGGGTCAAACTCATCGGATGTCCTAAGCTTGAGACGGCCAAACACGCGATGAAAAGGGGCTGGGCAGCGGCGGTCCCTCGCCGGAACAGTAACGGCGGCGGCGGCTCCGGCGACGGCAAGCGCGGCGGCGACGGTTTAAGCTAATCCACGGCCTAGAGAGGGAGAGAGAGAGGGCACGGTCGGAGATAGAGAGAGAAATGGAACGGTGGGCCAATTTGGGCGGGCGAGGCGACGGATCTGCGCCGGAACAAGGGATGCGGGCGGCGGAGCTCCTCCGGCGAAGGGCCTTCCACGGCCAAAACAAAGAGGAAGAGAGGGAAGGGGGCTCACGGGTTGGAAGGGAGAGGGGCCGAATCGGGCCGAGGTGAGAGGAACGGCGGCTCACGGCGCGGCGGCACCGAGGTGACGGCGACGGCACCCGTAGACGGCAACGGCGCTCCGGGCTGAAGACGCACTGCCACCGGTGAAAGGGGGCGAACCCGGTGGTGACGGGGCAGCAAGGCGACGGCCGGGACGATGGCGGCGACGTCCGGGTGTCGGGGCGGTTGCAGGGAAGCTGGCCTGGACGACCGGGACGATGGGCAGGGACTCGCCGGACACGGCGTGCGAACCGAGCTTCTGCGCGGGCGGGGAGAGGAGGAAGGCGGGCGTCGGGCGGAGCCGTTTGCCGCGCGCGGCGGCGCGACGACGGTGCGAGGGAGGACGGCAGCGGCGTCGTCGGCGGTTGCTGCCCAGGCGGCGTCGAGGCGGAGCTGGATGGGCGGTCGAGCAAGCACTCTAAGCGAGCGTAGCGGAACGAGCGAGAACCGGCCGGTCGGGCCGAAGACGAAGAAGGAAGAAGGAAAAAAAGGAAGAAGAAAGAAGGAAAAGAAAAGAAGAAAGGAAGAGAGAGAGAAGGAAGGTGGGAGTTGGTCTGCATGGCAGGGGCTAAAGGGACGTGGGCAGGGGGAGACGTGCGCGGAGAGGACAGGCGCGGCAGAAGAGAGAGAGAGAGAGGGAGAATAAAAGAAAATATTTGAACATTCAAATATTATTTGAAATCCGATGGCCCAAATTAAAAACCGAAAGTGGTCTACCGGTCCAAAATAAGCCTCGCACATAAAAAGGGACAAAGGCCAAATTAATTAGACCAAATCATAACGAGGGAGGTCTACTAGTCCAAATTCGCACGTGGTCAAAAACTCCCCTTTTTCCATCATTCCTGACAATCTCAACGCTGGCCACAACAATATCGACACCGTCCAATTTATTTTGTCCCGAAACTCCCAGAAATCGACTACCAAGTTCGGGATCCAAATAACGGCCAAATTTGATCGAGTGCGATTCTAGCGAAATCTCTAATTTAAAATGATGACCGGGAGTAATCAGTTCCCGGGCGAGATTTTACTATAA